GGGGGGGATAGGGTCTACTGCTGTGCTACATCCTCAGCCCTTCCCCTTGCTTTTTAAAATATTCATTTAAAGTGCTATTTGCTTTCCATTTTTATACACCATTATTTCCTACTATGGAAGAAATATTTTTCACACTATTATTCCATGTCCTTCCCTAAATCTGTTCTTACTCTGCTAAGAAGGAACATTCAAAGTCATGACCAACACTTCCTTTTCAGTATCCCCATATTAAGAAAAATACTGATGTTTATTACCAGAAAAAAGCATGAATCTGTAAGAACAGATCCAATAATTTTACTATAAATATATACCTCTGTGAGGATAAAAATACTTTCATGTACAGTTGTCATGGACATATTTGAAGTAGTAAGGATTTTTATCCCTTTAATAAAGTAAAAACTATCCACATTTTAAGTTGGCACAAGAACATTCAAGGAAATCACAGTTGCACTGTATGTCCTAGTTGAAAGACAGAATAAAGTTATTTGTATTAGGAGCCAAAAATAATTTCTATTGTAAGACTAATGTCTTGGGAAGAACTGCTAGAAAGACTATAAATAAATGACTATCCATACCATTTATACATAGAATAGCAAAACAGGCCACTCCTACACAGAGTGTGAACAATTATGAAAACAAGCAGTTGATTCCCACCTTGAGCCTAAAAACATAAGTCAGATATTTTGATCTGCAAATGAATCAATTCCAAGGAAGGATATAACTCAGAGATATTTAGTATGAGAATATTCATGTAGAATTATGTATAATGGAAAACAATCTAAATGCTCCAAGTAGAAAAATGGTCAAATTCAATCATATCTATAGAATAAAATGATAGAAAATCATGAAGTTCACCATTTCAGAGGATATTTAATACTGTGGGAAAATGCTCATGAGACAAAAAGTTGAGAGAAGTCACCCTAATTTAAAAATAAGCATGTGTACATGTGTATATAATATCTACATATATGTATATAAGCATATAGAAAATACCTATACACATGCCAATTTAAGTTCACAGAAAAAGGATAAACTTTTATTCTCCTGGGCTGGTCCATCACCCATGTATTTCAGAATCACTAGAGGGAAGAACTGAAATACAAGTTCTCAGATTCCATCCTGGGAGACACTGGAAACAGAGCTCAAGGTTCTGTCACTTTTACCTCCCTGATTGCTAACACAGTTTAATTCAAAATTTATTAAGACTACATTGAGGCATGAGTGGTTCAGCAAAACAACTTTTGAGAACAGGAAAGTATTTATTTTTAAATCTAAAAAATAAATAGTTACTGGGCTAGAGATGTAGCTCAGTGGCACAGCACCTGCCTGGCAAGTGCAAGGTCCTAAATTTGATACCTGGCACCAAAAAAAATAGTAGTTATCTATGAATTCCTGAAAATTGTTAAGTCAGTTTAAGCCAAAGAAACTGCTACACTAAGTCCAAATACAGAAATTATTACCTCAATAAACTGTTAGGGTAAAATATAATATTTTTTTTTCCGGTATCAGGGATCAAACTCAGGACCTTGCATCTGTGAGGCACAGCACCACAGAGCTAAATCCGGGCCCCTAAACTATAACAATTTTAGATGTATAAGGAATAGGATTTCTCAATGTTCCAAGATGTTTCTTGGCAAAAAAAGGTTTCAGTGATCAAATAAGCTTAGGGCACAGTATGTATACACCACCTTCTTCCTTTAAGGTCATACAATCATAAGTAGATTACAGGTTCTGAGGAGTTTTAACATAAGCTTTCTTCTTAATCCTTGCTCCTCAGGGCCAGAGGTTTAGCTCAGTGGCACGCACCTGCCTTGCAAGGTCATAAGTTTGATCCCTGATACCAAAAAAAAAAATAAAAAAAAAAAAAAAAAAAAAAAAAAAAAAGAATTCTCATCATGGACTAAATACCACACTGGACCCCACATCTCAGTTCTTTTCCATGGTCTTTGAGGGCTTATCATGGCTCAAATCAGCTACCAAACAATGTTCAAGAGCAGCAAAACTGAGCACCAGGCTACAAGACTAAAACAACTAAAGGAAGTTTTACTCATCTATTTCTACCACTAGACTGTTAGCTCACAGCTAAAAATGTATCTCTTGTCTATTCATTATGTTGGTATCCAACACAATAAATTCTGGCACTTAAGTGATACTCAGTAAGGGGGCACTACCAACCAGGTAATTAAAAATTTTTTTGATGAGTAATGAAATGAATTAGGCATATAAGTATTCCTATAATGTGCACAATCATAATATCAAGACTTCATTTCACTCAAAAAAATTTCTGAGCGCTCACTATACATGGGCATTTCTAAGTAAAGGGACCAAGACACGGTCTCTTCACTTAAGAGTGCTAAGCAATGGAGCTACTATAGTCCTAACCGTTCCATCTGTCTTGTACATTTGGAAAATACAGTAATTTCTAATTAATGCTCATTTAAATTGAGTTTGAAAACTGAGACATACTTTTTTTTTTGGTACTAGGGATCAAACTGTGGTCCTTGTGCTTTCAAGGCAGGCACAGCGAGTGCGGTGCCAGTGAACTCAATCCCCAGCCCAAGGCATACTTTTAAGTTTGGTCAAATTTGAGCAATTTGGAGGCAAAGAGACTAGAGTCAGAATCTGACCATTCTGGGATGACTGAGAACTCAAGTGATCAGAGCTCTCTTGGTCATCACTACCATGCAGTCTCTACAACCAGCCAGGAATCAAAAACTTTGAGCAAAGGAACCTCAGAATCCAAAGGAATGTAAGAGTACACGCTCTGACAATGTTTTTAAATATGTGTACTGCAAAGTTCCTTACGTTTTTGTGATGTTAACATACAGAAAGGGGTTCTGTAGAGCTGAGGGGCCTCTGTACTGTAGGACTTTTCTCAATGTGCTGCACAGGCCTTTTGCATTGTTCTGCATTCCTTATATGCATTATTTTGTATATTTTTCACAACAGGCTATGAATTAGGTTTTATTCTTTTTTCTATTTTGCAGATAAGAAGTTGAAGAAGCTATGAGAGAGTAAGTACCTGTTCCAGAGCACACAGGTACCACTATAAGGTACTGAGTGGAACTCTAAAAGCCAGGCTTTCTGGCACAAAGCGTGGTTTATGATCATTCCAAACAATACTTTAATATGTTCATGGGCATAAGCCCAGAGGAACACACAGTATACAGTGTTTCCTCAAACTGACTTGATTAGGGAGCCCTTCTGAGCAAATCCATGAGTCTTCACTTATTTCCATGGAACGTATTTGAGAAATACTGTGAAGCAAGTGAGTCAGCGATCCCATGGCAGACAGAAAGGAGGCAGAAGACAGCTCTGAAGGAAAAGCTACTCTAGAATCCACCCCCGACACCCCACCTTCTCTGCCCTCTCTTCTTTCTCTCTCCATAAACTGTGGTGCTAAGGATTGAACGTAGGGCCTCACCACTGAGCTACACCCTCAGCCCTTTTTTATTTTGAGACAGGCTCGTTAAACTACAAAGCTGTCCAGAGCAAGTGATCCTCCTACCTCAGCCTCCTCAGTGCTGGGATTAAAGGGATGTGCCAACATGCCCAGAAGATATTTTTTAAAACTGTGCTCAAAAAATTATTAATAGGGGCATGTAAATTAAACCTTGGTTTAATAAGATGCCATTTTTACTTCTAAATTCATAAGCTTTGCTTGATGAATCATTTATTTCAAATAATATTTGATATGGAATTCCAATTCTGGCATATTAGGATCTTTTCTAGGACATGATTTACATAGTAATTCAACCTACTACATATCACTAGTTTTGGTAAAGCATATTCACATTGGGAGTATAAGTTTTAACTTGTTGTATATCTCAAAAGGCCTGAAATTTGCATATTGGGATGATTTTTTTTCTTTTTGGTGGTACTAGGGATTGAACCCAGGGTCTCATGCATACTAGGCAAGAATTCTACCTCTGACATACATCCCTGTTGCCTTTATTTTTTTTTCAGTACTGGGGATCAAACTCAGGACCTTGTGCTTGCAAGGATGGTGTGGTGCCATTGAACTAAATCACCGACCCCAGTACCTTTTTATTTTACACTGAGATAGGGACTCACTACATTATTAGTCTGGCTTCAATCCCAACTCAGCCTCCCTGAGCAGTTGGGACTGCAGGATGCACCACCATGACCAGCTAGAGAGAATTATTTATTATAAGGGACTAAGTTAAATTTTGTAGGACATCTGGCATCCCTGACCCTGTTGACTAAATAACAGCACCACCACCATCCCTCAATCCTATGACAAGAATGCACCCCCACAATTTCTAAATTCCTAGGGGAGCACGCAGCTAAGAACCATAGGTTAAGCGCAAATCAGAAAGTTCAATAAAATACTAAAACAAACTCCCAGATCAATCCTGATTCAGTATTCTAACATAGCCATTATCATGCTATTGTTGCTACCACATATCCAAAGTCTCATGACATTTCTCTGTATTCTGTGAGGAACATGAATAGATTCAACACAAAACGCCAAAATACCATTTTTAGCCTCCTATGCACTTTATCAATAACAGCAATAAAGATGGGCAGAACGAGGCCCAAGATTTAGTGGAGTATTGGCTTGCATTTGTGGCAGGAGCCACAAAATGAGTTTATTTGAAAAATCTATCATTTTGTCAAATTTGCACTTCAAGAAGGATACTGGATGTTTTTTATCTTTAAAAAAATGATTAATTATCAAAAAGCTTGCTCTTTCTTACTGCAGAGTCAGTTCAGCAATGCTGCTCCAATCCTTTCAGGATTATTAGGGTCAAAATAATTTCAAACAAAAAAAAAAGAAAAAAATCTGGACTGTAGGTTTGGCAACGTATTCACAGACATGTTAATATGTATTCAGGAACACTGGTTTCATTTCTTGATTGGAATGCCAATCACCATAAAATCTTCTGCTAGAGTCACTTCTTGGAGCTCTAACACTGATTCTGCTTGCTTTTTCAGTTCTGCAATGCCATCTGCTTCTCCTTCCCTGGCCAAGGCAACTGGTTTGTACCTCTGACTGAAGTGAGTCAGAACCAGCCTCTTTGCATGGCACAACTTTGCAAATGCTGCTGCCATCTGTGGTGTGCTATGGCCATGCTCCTTTGCTTTGTCCATCTGGGCATCGTCCAAGGTTGCCTCGTGGATCAACAGGTCTGCATCAAAGCATAGCTTCATTCCTCCATCACCCACAACTCCAGAGCAATCACCCAATATGCAGATTTTTCTTCCAACAATAGGCTTTTTTAAGACATCCTGGGGAGAAATTGTAATCCCATTTTCCAGAACAACAGAAATTCCATTTTTCAGCTTCCCATAGGCAGGACCTGGCGGAACACCTAATGATGAAGGCAGATAACAATTACATCATGGATATGGAATTTACGACCTTTTAAAAGGGTACTTTAACAGCATAGCAAATAGCAAACGGGGAAGACATCCAATTCTTTTTTGTTATTTTACTACTTGTGGAAAACTAGAATATTTATACATTTTAAAAGCTCAGTGTTGGCTATAGATATTAACAATTTTTTTGTACTTAAAAAATTTCCTATGTACATTTGTCAGATAATTTTTAAACTGCTAAATCCTACTAAGACCTTATTACAGTCATGATAACAGCTTTGATTCTCTGCTGTGCATTGAAATAAGTTTTTAAAAATGCTTTATGTAATAATCTCATTTTTGGGGTAGAATTAAAGAGTATAATCAAATAATAATGTAATCAGTGTCTAGTCAAGATAGGTACCTACAAGTTAATTTAACAGAAAAATCATTAGAGAGGACTGTTTAGATCATAAGAGCATTTTGAGCAAGCACACATGATCAATCTTCTTGGTAGATGGGACAATTCCTACTTACCAACCTGGGTTTACATGTTACATTAATCTAGAGTAACACCTGATCATCACTCCAGACAATACTTAAAAATAAGTATAATCACCAAATCTAATAAAGATTATGTTTAAAGGTTCCAAGTATGATAGTCCTTGCACAGGCTTTGAGACAGTAAAACTAACTTTAGCCTAAGTCACATTTCCCCATTATCTAGCATCTTGTTTTAGTAGGGGAAGAGATCGCATGCATAAAGAAACAAACATAAAAAAGAGATGACAAGGTGGGTGGTGAAGCTGGGGGTGAAAAGGACCTTGCCTCTCTTTCACAATAGGGGCTCAGGACACTTCAGTGAACCTAAGTCTATCTTTGTATGCTTCCTTCCCACCACAATGAGCCCTAGAATATAAAATTGATTAAGATGCAGTATGCAGTTTGTGTGTGTGTGTGTGTGTGTGTGTGTGCGTGTGGCACTGAGGTATATCCCCAGCCCTTTTAAATTATATATATATAAAATAAGTTAAATTACCCAGGCTGGACTCAGACTTGCAATCCTCCTGCTTCAGCCTCCAAGAGTGCTGGGATTATAGTCATGTAGCTAGGTGTACTGTTCTGAAACCAAATTAATTTAGTCAAGTTTGAATGAGTAGGTAAAGTAAATAGAGAATGAACCCCTGAAAGTGGTTGTTTGCAGCTCTAAAGTTAAGAACATGATAAAACTACTCAGACCAAAGACATCATTAAAAATATACTTCAGCCAGACATGGTGATGCATGCCTGTAATCCCAACACTGGGAGGCTGAGATAGAAGGATTACCTCAAGATCGAGGCCAGGCTAGGCTACATTTTGAATTTAAGTAAAGCCTGGAATACAGAGTGAAACCCTGTCTCAGAACAAACAAATACAAAGAAAAAAATACTTCAAAAGGAAGCTATGAGGGCTGAGAGCATAGCTCATTGATACAGTATTTGCCTAGCATGTGGGAGACCCTGGGTTCAACCCCCAGCACCACACACACAAACCCCACCCAAGCAACTTTACCAACCAGACAGAATAAAATGAAGATAAGAGATTAAGAATGTGAATCCAGGGCCGGGGATTTAGCTCAGTGGTTCTGCTGCCTGGCTCGCAAGCACAAGGACCCAAGTTCGATCCCCAGTACCAAGAGAAAGAATGTGAATCCAGGGGCCAAGGATTTAGCTCAGAGGCACAGTGCCTCCTGGCAAGCTCAAGGTCCTGAGTTCAATCCCTAGTACCCCCCCAAAGAATGTGAATCCAGGAATCTGATGAGAGAAGGATTAAAAAATACTGCATATTTGGCTTTTGTTCCGAATGTCATCTTTTGGCCACAAAGATTTTCCTTAATGAGCAAACTTTGGGCAAAGACAGTGGAGAAAATGTTATTTTTAGGCCTGAAATACAGGAAAGACAGGTTACTATGATACTTCTAATGGCTAACTAGCTTAATTTCTGAGAAAGAAATACACACACAGACACAGACACACACAGACACACACACACACACACACACACACACACACACACACACACACTTACCAAGATCTTTTAGCTTCTGTGCATTGAGTTTACCTGGGCGTTTCTTTTCCACAACTGAAAACCCAAAGGAGGGAATTCGGTGAAAGAGGCGAAATGCTTTTACAACAAACTGTTCATCATCAACCAGAAGGTATGAGTTCTCTTCTAAGTCTAACAGGATAGTTCTTCCTTGTCCCTCTTTAGTAGTGCTGTCTGCTTTCTCCACATGTAAAAATTCTTTTAGCTCTTCTGTTGGACACTGATCTGCTGTAGGCACCAGTTCATGGACCACATAAGGAAACACCAACTCTGTATGAGAGAGCTCCATGGTTCGCCAGATAAAGTCCCGAAGTCCTATAGGGCCATAGATTTCAATAGGCTGTTTGGTGACAATGGAGCCACTCTGCAGGCTTATTGTGCACAGGAGGCCAGGAAGGCCAAAGAAATGGTCTCCATGAAGATGTGTAATGAAGATCTTGGTAATTCTCCCTTTCAATTGAGACAAAGAAATATATTTGGAATTTTTTCAAAAATAAATACTCAAAGCTATTTGAACAAGTCTTAACATGTTGCACTAAAAGTATTAAATTGAATTTAGAAGTTTTATATACCATCACAGACTTATTCCTTTACTTTACTACATGGTTCCACAAGTAAGAACAGCTTTATTTCATTGGATAGTTTTTAAATGAGGTACATTTTTTCATAAAACATTTAAAAATTACATAGTTTTGCATTTTTCAAGGTTTTTTCCTATATATTTTCTCACTTTAAAAAAGTGAAATGTAAAATTGTACCAAAATAAATCACTGAACTTGATGGGTCTTACACATCAAAAACATCTGGCAGTTTCACTGCCCCCTACTGCCTCCTTTGAGAACAGAACACTTGGGCCCATCTGCTTTCAATCTGAACTAACACAACTTTTTCAGTGTTCACTGGCTTAGGTTATAACTGGATTTAGCCAATGGTGAACTGAATTTACTGCTGCTATGTGGCAGGATGCCACATCAGCATTTTCTGAGATGTACCACAGACATTTTGAAAGTAACAATCACAACTAGCACATTTCCAGTATAACAGGCTTCTGGGCCTTGCTCAAGGCCCACCTATTTTAAACATATGATACCATAAAAGTACAGGAGCAGTTTATTGATACCATAAAAGAACAGGAACCATTTATTGTAATATGATTCGTGCTATGACAGCAAATTCATGTCTGCCTAGAATGACTACACCCAGCCCAGGGGCAGAGAACAATAGATTGGACAAAGACTGATTTTTAGACTTTGAGAATCCCCAGGAGGAGGAGGCATTCTCTCACTCTGGAAGCTTCTCCCTTTTCTTTTCTTTTTTTTTTTTGGCCCTTACTTTTGCTGTTTTTTGACTTCGAAAATCCTTTACTTTTCCCCCCTTTCCCCTGCCCAGGCTGCTAAGCTACCTCCAAGTGTGACCTGAAAACTCATCAGACAGACTACAATGGCTGCTGAGTTCAAATTGTACGTAGGTCTCAAAACTGGCAACATCAGCCTTCCTGGGCCCTTTTCTATCTATTCCGAAACAAAAGTAAAGCTGAACACCCAAACAGCCTGGGAACCCAAAGCAAGGCAGGCATATTAAGTAAGTGGAAAATTACTTCCCACAGTTAATCATAGTTTCAAGACACAAACATTTCATTTTTCAAGAAATTTGATTTCAAAGGGAGAAAAATGGCAACAGCAATTATCAGAGGTATGAGGAAGTTATCAAATGAAAACAGAAAAATGCATGTATTCTCTGTCACATGAGACCATGGAGAAATCAGGAAATACTGCACACAGAGGAGTGGAATGCTGAGCATCCTCTGAAAATGATGGTAAAGTATACTTTCTGCCATAGGAAAAGGTCTGCAATACATTGTACATATATATGGTTTCAGTTAAAATACTAGGTTATGCCAGTGTAGTGTGATTCCACTGATGCAAAACTACACCTACACACACGCACACACACACACACACACACACACACACACACACACACAAATATAGCCATACCATTACCACATCTATATGTTCAGAAAATTACCAAAAGGGAAGAGAGTTTATTTATACTTTCCTGTTTGTTTAAACCCCCACAATAAGCATATACTTTTTTTTTTTTGGTTTTTTGAGACAGGGTCTCACTATGCAGTTGAGACTGACCAGGAACTCACTATGTAGCCCAACCTGGTCTCAAACTCATAGCGATCCTCCTGCCTCAGCCTCCCAAGTGCTGGGATTATAGGCATGTGTCACCAAGATATACACATTTTATAATCATTTTAAATGATTTATATAAATCTCTCTTGCTTTCTCTTTTTCTTGTGTGCTGGAGTCAAATCCAGGATTTCATACATGCTGTAAAACACATTCCAGTATTAAGCTATACCTCCAGCCCCACATAAAATTTTTATAACCATATTATTGCTATTATTTTATAACCATATTATTTATAACCATATTATTGCTTTTATAATACTTTTAATAATTGTTTTATAATCATTTTGTTGTGTTGTCTCTGTTTTTGGTGCTGAGGATTGAACCCAAAACCTTGCACATGTTAAACACATGTTCTACTAGTTAATGCCCCTCCTCTGTGCTTCAAAAGTACCCTACCCTGGTTGGAAAATACTGTGGTTGTTCTACTTAGCATATTACATGCTTCAGTATTATTGGAATGTCAGTTTCCAGCACTAGACCAAGAGATCTTGGGACACTGGAAGTATCTTTCCTTTGGACATCAAGTAATACACCCAATGATGAGTTGCAGGAATAATCGCAGTAATTACTTTTTATCAAGACTGAAAAAGTAACAGACACTGTACAAAGTTGCTCAACATCTTTTCCATTCACAAAATGAATAGATATATACTAGGCATCTACTAGCTATGGAAGTGATCCCTGAACTTACTTTATGTGCAGGGAGATAGAGAGCACAGAAGCAAACTATTTAACATAATTCCAGATACCACAGATGGTAAGGAGTCAATAAAAATAGGATGCAATAATAGAATGGGTTGAGCAAAGGACTGCTTAATCTGAAAGGTTCTAGAAAGCCCTGAAAAGGTGGCCTTTGAGCTAACATTTAACTGATTAAAGGAGGCAACCACACAAAAGAGGAATTACGTTACATATAATTCTCAGAGCATTCCTTCTAAATAAGAGTTTTTACTGCCATTTTTGGGATAAGGAAAGTAAAGTTAGAATTTGCTAATGTGCTAAGGTTACAAGATATACACAGAGACACGCTGGGGCTGAAACCCAGGTCAGCATATCTGGGCTGAGACTACATGTACCTGACTTCTCCATGTTCCAGGTGCTGGCCTTGGCTTCCTGTATTCTTCTGACTGGAATTCCCTTCTCATCCCGGGAATTGTTCCTTCTCCCGCAACAGTCAACTTCTCTGAGAGGCCTAATCCAATAACTCAAGTGGAAAAGAGCGTCTCCCTTCTCTAAACACCTGCATCCTCTTATGACTATTCTCTCCTGGTAGAAATACAGTCACTGCTCTCTTGCTAGGGCAGTGTCCATCTAATATGCCTGATGTATCTCTCCCAACCGCCACCCCTAAGCCTACAGAAATCCTTGCTCTCAGCCTTTACAGAATGAATGAAAGGCAAATAAACAAGTACACCAAGTTCAGCAGGCATGGCCAGATGCCTGAGGGCCTTCCAAGTCTTGCCAGGGCACTGAGAGCACTGAAGTGGGATGTAATTGTCAGGGCTGTTTCTGAACAACAGGCCCAGGAGAGTCAAGAAACTGCAGCAAAACAAAAGAGAGAGCTGAATGTGCACTAACCTGCTTTAAGCTGGCTTTTCATAAGCTGTGTTTGTGTTCCTTCCCCACAGTCAAACAGCCAGCACTCACCCTCACATCGAAGGACCAGGGCAGAAGCACCCCGGGTTGGTGATGGATATGCTGCACCCGTCCCAAGAAATGTCACATCCATAGACATCTTCTACCCTGCAAGAGAAAGGTCACCTGGGGATTATTTCAAATCACTGTAATAAAAACATGTTCTTATATAACTTACTTACTTTTTGATGCCAGGTTTTTAACCTAAAGCCTTACACTTGCTAAATGTGTGCACCACCACTGATCTATACTTTCCAACTCCTAATTATTTTTAGCTATAGCTTTTTTTTTAATGTTAGGAGATAGTGTGCTAGGCAAGTGCTGTACTGCTAAACTAAACCCCCAGCCCTTATTATAACTCTTAACTGGCTAAAACTATAAGTCACCAAACCTTATATGACTATGTGCATGTGCAATGCGTGCACACATGCACACACACACACACACACACACAATTATCTAATCATTAAAAACTAGTTGAGGGGCTAGAGAAAAGCACTTGCCTAGGCCATGTGAAGCCCTGGGTTTAATCCCTAGCACCACAAAACAAAAACAATAATTGAATTCCAACTATATAACATTCTCAAAAAGGCAAATGTATATACAGATACTAAAAAGATCAGTGTCCATCAATAATATGGGGACAGAAGAAAGGACTACTAGATGGAGCATAGGATTTTAGGATGCATCAAAACTATTCTGTATGACACAGTAAGTATAGACACATCATTATACACTGGTCAGCTGTACATATTATGTATGCAAAGAAGTAAGTCAAATTTAGTTAATAACAGGGCTGGGGATTTAGCTCAGTGGCGCCAGCACCTGCCTTCCTAGTGCAAGGTCCTGCATTTGAACTAACAAAAAAAAACCCAAATTTAGTTAATAACAGTTTGTCATATTGTGTCACCAACTGTAATAAATACACCACCTCACTGGAAGATTTTAATATAGGAGAAACTGGGAGTTGAAGGGTGAGAAGTCACATGAAAACTCACCATATCTTCCACTCATTAATTTTTAAAAAAGTTCTAATAAACACAAAACAGCAATTCTAGCTGAGGTGGGATTTAATTATGTTTATGGAGTGAAGCCATGGTGATCAACCCTTCCTTTGAATGATCATGCTCTATGATAGCCCATAATAATGCTGAGGAAATGTCTCATTCCTCTAATGACTGGTTAGGGTACTGTAATTTTAAGTGATCAGCAATAACCTGTTGAATGTGCAGATTTCTGCCAACTCCTGGCACAATTCCTTTCAGTATTTGTAGATACATCTGCCATCTCTAATATATTTTTTAAATGGGGGATGTGTATCAAACAATAAATGAAAAGCAACTTAGACATAGCTGGTTCTACATTACACTGTCCATATTGATGGCAAAGAGGAAAAAAATAGTTTAGAAAAACTACTATAGTTAGAAAATTTGACAGAGAGCAGGATATAAATATACAAAAGAACAGGTAAAAGGAAAGTCCAGAAATAATAAGATGAGAAAGGGTGGTTTATTGCACAGTAGTGACACACCTGGCTGTTCTTGCAAAAAAAAAAAGCATACCAAAGCAAGGCCCCTATTTTACATTGTATATAAAAATTCACTGTACATGGGTTAATTTTTTTTTTTTTTGGTACGAGAGATTGAACTTGGGTCCTTGCGCTTGTGAGGCAGGTGGCAGAACCACTGAGCCAGCCCCCTCAAAATTTTTTTGAGACAGGGTCTTCCTATGTAGTTCAGGTTGGTTCTGAATTTACAATGTAGCCCAGGCTAGCCTTGAACTCCAAGCAAGCCTCCTGTTTCAGCATCCCAAATGCTGGGATTATAGTGTGTGCCACCATACTCTGTCTTGGGCTAGAAATTTAAATGTAAAAATCTAATAAAATGTTTCAAAAAAATTAGGAGAGGGTGGGAGCTATAGTTCAGTGGTATAACGCTTGCCTACCCCTGGATTCAATTCCCAACATGGCTAGGACAAAATATCAGGAAACTATGTATGTAACTTTGGAGATTGGAAAGCCCTTATTGTCCAGGCAAGAAGCCCAGAAAATTTTAAAACATAATTTTCATTTGATGTTTATATTATTTTATTACTTTTATAATATCAAAGATTCATACAGACAAAGAACAAAAATATGACTGGAAAAAATTTTGCACCACTTATAACAAGTAGTTAATACCCCTTTAAAAAGTTTGTGTAAGTAAGCATGGTGGCCCATGTTTATAATGCTAGAACATGGGAGGCTGAGGTAAGTAGATCATCTGAGTTTGAGGTCAACGTGGGTAGGCTACATGGTGTGTTCAAATCTAGCATGAACTATATAGTGAGGCCCTATCTAAAGAATAAATAATGTATACATACACACACACACACACACACACACACACACATAGCACAAATGCATTAAAAAACAAAAATACTGATGGAATAGAAAAACAGGCAAAGGACATATACCGGAATCACAGAAGAAATTCAAATGGCCAATAAGCATGAAAAGTGCTCAGTCTCTCAGTAGAAACGCAAATTAAAGGAAAAAAGAGACCACTTTCCACACATCAGCTGGCAAAGAGCAATGAAGTAATAGTAAACAGTGATACTCAAGATGAAGGGAAATGCACCAGCTTCGTAAGAGCAAGGTCCTGAGTTTGATCCTCAGTACCAAAAACAAAACAAAACAAACAAACAAAAAAGGTGAAGGGAAATGGATAAGTGGGTGCTTTATAAATTACTTGTGGTGGAGGTAAGAATTATTATTATGCTTTAGAAGAATAATTTGGCAGTAAGTGTTATCAATAACAATAACGCTGTTGATAAACTCAGAAATTCTATTTTTGGGACTTCACCCTACAGAAATAAAGGATCTAGGTAAAATAATGCTACTGTGTTGCTTTTAGGTAGCTAAAATATTGACACAATCTAACTATGTGGCTGAATAATTTTTTGTATATTCCTGTTATTTTTTCTATTAACTATCTATTAATAAATACTTAGGTCTGTAACTACTGTCCTAGGATGACAATGAGAAGTTACAGATGGCTATGGAATGGTCTCATCTTTATAACAATGTTTTAAACCTCTACACTCACATAAGACAGTCTGGTGTGGAAGGATACAAACCATAAGGTTCATCTTAGTTATTTGAGGTGACTAGAATAATAGGGAGAGGCAGGATAAGAACTATTAGCTCTTAAACCTTTGTATTGCTTTCATTTATAGTGAATGGTATTTATTTAATACCAATGACTTTTACAGAATGTATCATAAGCCCAAACATGCTTTTCTAACTACACATGACCAAATTATCTTCCTATTTTGAATAAATCAGCTCCCCACTTCTCTTGCCCTATACGTCCTCAAACACAAGTGTTATATCTTAACCCAATCCAAAGATGTGAGGTCACAGCTAGTGTCCCTTCAATGTATTATTCTACATTTTCACCTCCAAGATCAAGTCCTTCCTCTGACAATTAAGCAGCTTAGTTTGCAGAGGGTTCTCTAGTAGATTGCAGTTTGCAAGAAGTGAGAATAAACAGAATGTAAGTGTTAGAACTGAAAGGCTAATAAGATGCAGAAGAAATAATAGAATGTAATCACTTTGCAAGCTCTAACAAACAATAGAAACTAGTAATATTGGACTCTGGAGTGTGTCAGGATTACCTGGAAACATAAAAAAGTATCAGTGATTAGGCTCTATTCTAAAACAATTAAACAGTAAATTGTTAGAAATGTGCTTTGATATTTTAATAAGCAGGAAAGAGGGATCCTTCCCCTGTAATTCTAACATGGAATCAGATTTAAGAACATGGGTATGAAAAAAAAATACAACATTTAATCATTAAAAAAAAAAAAAGAACCTGGCTATGGTGGCACAAGCTTGTAATCCTAGCACAATGGAAAACTGAGGCAGGAAGATTGCAAGTTTCAGCCTCGCAAGGGCAATTTACTTACTTAGCGATACGCTATCTCAAAATAAAAAATAAAGAAGGGCTGGGGATTTAGCTAAGTGAAAAGACCCTGGGTTCAATCCCCAGTGCCATACAACAGAACAAAACAAAAAAACCATTTAGTGATGGAACACAGTCAATGGAGAACAAAAATCTAAATACCAAACTGACCCTGACCTGAACTTAATGAGTTAATCATTTTTAAAAAAATATTTTAAGAAAAATCAACAACACGTACAGGAGTAGGGAGGTCAGTATAATGCTTTGCCACACACCTATCATGGAGCTTCAGCAATTACCAACTCATGGGCAATCCTGATTCCTCTATGTCCCCACTCTGCCCCCAACTATCCAAGAATAATAAATGGTATGAGGTATTTCTATCAGGAGGCACACATCACCTGGCTAACTCTCTTTTTCAGATGTTAGCATCTACTATGATTGCTGCCAGGATCCATTATTTATTAGGGTTTGCCAAAGAGTGAGATTTTCTTTCCTTCTGCAGTTATTTGCTGGCATCTCTCTATAATTCCCAGGTCAATTATTTGGTTACCTGCGGTGCAATCTGTACATAAAAGGTCCACAAAGAGAAACAAGATCTTATCTAATTTCTGATGATGCAATATGAAATATACAGTAAGTCTTTAGCAGGTTTTCATGTCAAAAAGTGTAAGCAGAACCTGAAAAGGCTAACTCTAATTACCAGTTTATTAAAAGAATCTAACAGAATACCAGTTATTAACGGAATTCTAGGAATGGAAAAAAATAATATCCAGGAAACTTTACTTTATAGGACAAATGACTCGGTTTTTTCAACAAATAAAATGAAGGGGAAAAAATGGGGAATTAAAGGAGATTTAGGAGATAGCAACCAAAGGTACATGTGTAATTTATGTGTCTTGATCAAACTGATAAAGGGGAGACAGGGAGAGACAACTGGGGAACTGTACACATTGACTGGAAAATAAACAATATGAAATGATAATTGGACTAACAGCTTTATGTTTAAAAATTGAGTTGTTTTATAAACACACTTTAGCAGATGGAATAGTACATTTCAGAGTTGCTTCGCAATAATAATGGAGATGATG